GCATTTACAATTTATCCATAAATTTTTCACCCTCTTGAAAAAATTCACGGTTTGGACAGCAGCATTCATGTCAATATATGAATTTGTAAAAGATTTCGGTAAATTCCATCTGATTGTAGTTTAGTTTCTATCATGCTTATAAAAATTACTATGAAACGATCCAACATTCAACTCAGACAGTGAGCTTGACTATGTTAGTTCAGTTGGCTATCAGTCGAAATCCGTCAAACCAATCACAATAAAACAAAAATTCAAATGAACCAATTGTAAGATAGCAATTGGACTCCCTTATACGTCCGGCCACCCCTCTTATCAGTCGAGACCATTCCAGACTGTCCACTGATCTGGCCATTGACCAATAAAGTAAGCGTTTTTGGCGTTCATAGACTCCTTTATCCGTCGAACCAGTCAAGCCACCCCGCTTATTAGTCGGTTATTCCAGGTCAATTAAAATTCAACTGCTCTGGTTACCAACGAGATATTCATTGGATTAGTCATTAGTTTTCAATAATAAATAAAGCGGGATTTTTATCACGAAGTAAATGCGATAATAAAGTAAGAATAATTAATGTTTTTAATTAATATGAGTAGGTAATTTTTGAATTTCAAACGTCAGTCGCGCGACGGATTTGACATACTCTAGATCCGCCCCTGTACACAAAATACTTTTTTGTTCTTAATTCTGCCTTGCAAGAAACTGAGTTATAAAAACTATTGGGTATATTTGTTAATGAGCCTTAGCTATGAAACTTTTATTTCTGTCCTTGTGATTTATTAGCCTATTTTCGTCTAAAGCTTGGGAAATCATCTTACAGTACCTAGAGCTTTCTGCTTCTTAGAAAAATATTGGCAGGAAAGATTGTATGTACATTAAAAATAAACATTTTTACATAGGAAATATATGATGAAATATCAATAAAACCCACTAATTGACTGTCATGTATATTTTCTGCTTCTGTTCTAAACCATGTGCAATGGATAATGTATATATATCAAGCAACATGGACCTTCACCATGCATGCTAATGAAATGTTTTACGTATTTAAAAAACTAACATCATTGTATCTCATGCAGCTGATACACTAATAAGTAGTCAAGAATATAAACTGTTGTAAAGCTCGTGTATCTATATGTATTATCATTGGTATACTTAGCACAACATTCATACTGTACTACCTCTTTGTTTTAACATAATCTAGCTTATTTTCCATGGAAAAATACGTTTAAATGATGCATATGATATGCAAAATGCATAGGGGAAAACCCGCAATTTGAATATTTGATACGTCCAAGGCTATAGGATTCATTGCTCGAATAACATTATTTCTTTTTTTGTCATTGAACAAATTTTACGTGTTTGTAAGACAATGTCAGCGAGTTATGTGCACTAATCTTAAAGAAGTGGCTCTATCTCAATTGAGAGTCTCGCTAATAAGATGAAAGAGCTACCGGACGCAAGAAAAGACAATACAAAAATGCAAATGCTCTTGTGTAAAAAGGGATTTGTTACGCGGATAAGTTGTTTTTCGTCAGCAAAACTTGGGATGTTAACACTACTGACGAATGTAGTACACCGTCCATAAAGCTTTTATTCTAAAAGCCTTAGCCATGGAAGATACATATGTGATTAAAAAACTCAAGGTAAAACCTTGTTGATCAACAACATCTCGCCCATAATTGTCTTTGAGAAGCTAAGCCGCCATTGACCACTGATCTGGCCATTGACCATTAAAATAAGCGTTTTTGACGTTCATAGACTCCTTTATCCGTCGAACCAGTCAAGCAATAAGCAATACTTCTCGCTCCATAACCTCATTTGCGATACTTTCTGGGAAAAAAAGTAGCCCCTTCAGAATTTTCACCTGCAACGTACAAAATTTAATGTAGTAAATATGGGCAGCAAGCCACATTATTACTGACTGTTCTATTTTTAAATTCCACTTGAATGATTTCCCAATGATATTTTACACCATTATCACAATACTTATCACTTCATGAAATAGGACATCAAATTAGTAGATGCTTTTCTCTTATAATATGTAACTGGAACATCTTTTTTTTAAAAAGACTGACAAGTAAAAGTAGAATATATATTACTCACAAACCTTGGAAAGAATTCATCTCAAAAGCATCACATATTTGGAGGCTCTATAGTGCAAGCAGTGTTAAAGTCGCATCATCAATAGATGACTGTCCAGCCAAAGTCGTGGAATGCGATTCTTCTCCAAGTTGCGGTTCAGCGCACAATGATTCATTTTGAGTCTCTGCTAGTGCGATTTCTACAAAATCTAATTGCTCTTCCACAACATCTACCAATTCATTAGTAACTATAAAACAAATATTTGTATTTTTATCAAATATGCATTTTTTTTAAATAAAGATTGCTGCATGTAACACTTTTACTGCTTGACATATGCACTTCATACTGGAATTCTCAAGTATAACAACTGAATGAATGTTGCCTTTCGCAGTATTTATTGTCATATTTAAAATTAGCTCCTTATAAAGTAATTGTTTAATTTTATTTGCATCTTGATAGTGTCATAAAATTAACCAAATGGTGCAATAATTAATATATACCTGACCTTATAGAATTACATTAATTATTAAATGCTCATAATTATTCATTAACAAAGTGTTTTTAATAATTAATGAAAAACCTCTTCGTTTTCATAATCCAAAGTCTTGCAAACATAAAAATTGACACTACTGTATGGCCAGCCAAGGGACTCCTCGTACTTTTCTACAGAAAATGGTTCTATAGTTCCTGGTAAATATAAAACTAACTCCATATCTGGGTACAACAAAACCCATTCTGAATTTTCATCACGGTGTTTCTTATTGTGAGCCAGTTGCTTTTCCACCCCAGCAGTTTTTACCACAACATGAGAATCACATTTTTTTACATCAATAGGAAGAAGCGAGCTTCGCTTAATTTTCAATTGATTCCCATCTTAATGTTCATAACCTGGCATCACAAAATGTGTGATGAAGAATGAAAAAAATAATTAGACATTTTACTGCTCTATTCATATTAGCGCGCCGCGCGCTGAATTTTCTAACGAGTTTGTATAGTGTCAACGTAACGTTTGTATTGTGTTAAAGCAACGTTTAGTCAAGGTTTAGTAAAGTGCGACGTTTGGGCTGGTAACACAAAAACTTGAAAAAACGTACGTTTACACCAACAGTCACTTTTATATTAATAAATGAGAATATCAAAGCTATTGGATAACACAGCAAAAAAGATTCCTATTTTTAGCTTTACAGTTCAGCTCATTTGATTTATTATCATTATATTTTTTATTAACGACAAACACATTTGATTGACATATTTACGATTTTACATGGCTTTATCAATGGTGTGAAGTATCAAAGTGAGAGTCGAAATAACAATTGCTTAAGTTTGCTAACTCCAACGTTCATGTTCAACGAGGTTATCTTGTTTTCATCTTGGTTGACAACCGCCAAACGTTGCATTGACCTTGACTAAACGTTACTCTCACACAATACAAACGCTACGTTGACACTATACAAAGTAATCAGAAAATTCGGCGCGCTCATATGAAAAGAGCAGTAATGGCAAAAACTATTCTATCCTTTTCCATTTCATATGGGGTTGGTGAGCACTAAACAGTGTTGAGTGAAGAAAACCTGAGCCTGACTTTAAAAGCATGCCACAAAAATATTATTGTGTTGGTTCCAATAACAGCAAAAAAAACCAATTTTTTATAGCAGGCATTTTATATTTCAGCTTAACTAGGTGGCAATTACAGAACAAATATATACATAAAAACAAGCATTCACGGTCATCACGCAACCCTGAAATAATTTATGACATGACCTGTTTGCAGAGGTAGTAATAAAAGGTTAGGATTGATGGTATGAATAAAAAAGCAAATCACAAACCTTGACAGTCTCATCCTTCTTCCCCTTTTTCGTGAGACAAAACAATCTTTACGCTTTCTTTTCTCAACGGTGGCAAATGAAACATCTGGCAAATACTCTTTAAAGGTCAAAGATTTGGTGGAACGAGGATGATCAGTAGAAGACCCAGCTGATGTTGGTCACTGTTCTGAAAGGTCTTTGATTCGTCGTGCTTTCGAAGATCAGCCCCACAGTGAGCGCAAAAATTACCCCTTGTATTTAGTGAACTCCCACATACAGTACAAAACATGTTGTTTAAATCACTGGTTTAAATTAACTAGTAGCCGGGTAAGATGATACGAACATATTCACAAACGCTAAACACCATAAACACCTCTTGGATGTTCCGTATTTATTTTACATCAGTGTATGAAACATAGATTTTCTTTCTCGAAATCAAACGAAAGTATGAGAATATAAAATTAATCTACGCTTCGGCATAGGGATAGGTTAACTTATTTGGTAATTTCAGAAAACATTTTGCTAGCAAATAACCGGATATGAATTTTGCATATTATAATTTGCGTTTGTGTATTTGAATTTGCGCTTGTGTATTATAATTTGCGTTTGTGTATTTGAATTTGCGCTTGTGTATTTGAATTTGCGTTTGTGTATTTGAATTTGCGTTTGTGTATTTGAATTTGCGCTTGTGTTGCTTTTGTGTATTTGAATTTGCGTTTGTGTATTTGAATTTGCGCTTGTGTATTTGAATTTGCTTTTGTGTATTTGAATTTGGGTTTGTGTATTTGAATTTGCGTTTGTGTATTTAAATTTGCGTTTGTGTATTTGAATTTGCGCTTGTGTATTTGAATTTGCGTTTGTGTATTTGAATTTGCGTTTGTGTATTTGAATTTGTGTTTATGTATTTGAATTTGTGTATTGCACCTCTGGGCCACCGTACATTAAACATTAGAACACATTAGAAAACAGAAATCTTTCGAGAACATCAGAGCATCAAAACAGAAAAACGTGAAGATTATCTGGAGAGTATATCTAATGTGATTTGTGAACATTTCTATGACTAGAACTCGATGTTGCAATATCCAGTCTATTATTAGATCAGTGACGCCGACACATATGAGAAAAATTGAGTATTTTTATAATGTTTACTCCTGTACAAAGGATATCAAATGTAGTTTCGTAATACTCTCATATAAATATTTTTGTTATAAAGTGCAGATAATTCGCTCCCGTACTGAGTTCAAAACTCGTCATGTCGAGCTAAGGCCTCTCCAAAATCGGTCACCTGACTGCCCACAAATATATCGTGTTTCTCTAAAATTTCTTGCTTGGTCAGTGTGCCATCCTTAAAAGAAAGAATACATATTTAGCATGAATTCACATAAAAATGACCGTTCCCACGCATGATCAAATGAATTAAACCTCTCTCCCGCTCCTCCTGACTATTTGTGAACAAGTTAATCGGAATAAAAAATTTGTATAAAAAATGAAAAACGCTAGGCCGTTTCAAACACGAAACTTTGCATGCGCTGGGTACAATAAAGACAGTAAATGTTGTAAAATTCCTCGTTATCTTTAGTTTTAAATGCATACGTCACATGTAAAGTACAACGTTTGAAACGGGACCAAATGTGATTATTTCATTGAAAAGTTCAATGACGTGCGCATATAAGCCACCTTTCGGCTTGAACATTCATCATCATCATATCTTTTCGCGCCAGGGCGATCCAAACTCGGGCTGGAAGTTTGGAATTGTGGCGCGTGCTGTAGCAATCAGTCGAAATCAGGGACGGCACGTGAAGCCTTGCTACTTGTCCCCATACACATATTAATACTTAAACAATGTAAGGCGCAGAACTTTTGTTGTGTCTAGATAACAATTTAATGTAAAAATAACACTAGACGGCATTCTTCAGGTGACCGTCAATATCAAGTTTACGTTTGTTGAAACTGTGGTTTAAACACTAACACACGTATTATTAATAAATGTCTGCAAACAGTTTAATGCTATTATCTTGATCGATTACGTCTAAAAGGCAAGAGAAAACGTTGGCCTCGCCCCCTACAACTACGGCATGTCAACTGCAAAGTATTAAAATATATCTTGACTAAGTTTGTAATCAACTAGTGATTAAATTTGAGTTAACTCTGCTAGGATACTGGCTCGTGTATAATAATTGATATTCTTGCAAGATATTTCAACAGGATTGAAAACTATTCACCACAACTCAGTACCAACTGCAGAAGAGCACTACATTATTTTTTATAGAAATCACCACTGAAATTATAGTGTCTACTTGCTTATTTCACATATCATTGTTTCACGGCTGCATGAGAGTTACAATGTTTAAATAGTAGAGTTTGAATGAAGATATTTCACAAATTTTATAAATATAATGGTGCATTATATGTAAGGTTTTGGCATTTTGTAATGAATTAACAATCAATTTTGGACAAAAAGTTTGTTCCAGAGACTAAAAATCATGTTTGTAGATATATAGATCATCCAGGTTAGTCTACAGTTAGTTTAGAGAAACCATAACGTTACATAAACTGAACAAAGAGACTTTGGCAGGGCCACATGTTTGTACAGGTTCATCTTCATACTTAGCAATTCAAAACTGTATATGATTTCTCATTTATTTAAACTATGTTATCTATTTATACTTCATTTTCATCAAACATATAGAAGTTGTTTTCTATCCATTTTTGCTTCTTCTGCCTTCAACTTTATTACAACTTATGCATCCCAAGTGAGTCCTGCATCACCTGGAATTATCCAAGGTTGGATTTTGTCATGCATAATTGAAGCTCAATGCTACAATTTTCTATTCATGCAGACAGTCATAAGCACTCCTTGAATAAAAACTTCTAGGTAGAAGCAAATGTTGGCTGAGTATTGTCCGAAGCAGCTCTGTTATGTTGGTTTTGATGTATTAACCTGTTCACTATTACAATGCATGCTTCTTTTACAGAAAAACCAAGAGTTATTTATAAAACCAGTAGCATCAACAATCCTTAAACCCCAATATGTTTATTGATTACAATCTCTCAATTTGGGAAAATCAGATAAGGGTTTATTTTAAGATATTTTTTCTGGTTTTATACCGTGTACATATCTCAGTGTTTTTGAATATTGTTTACAAGTGCTTCATTCAAATTTCAACACAAATTTATTCTTAACTTTTCTTTCATATTTTCTGAATTATCTTTTAAAAAGATCCTAATCCATTTCCTGGACATAAACTCAATTCCTAATGAATGGGAGAATTTTGTTAATTTTTTCTGTGCAAGATATGCACATCTAGAAAAGAATTGGCAAATTCATATGTCTGACAAGCATTTACTTAATAAATATAAATGATTGGCCAACATCAATCTTGTAACTTAGTAATAAAAAAATGTTAACAACTACAAGTTTTGTAAAAACAATACGGCAAACAAATTAGTGAAAATACTGAACACTTTGAATGAAAAACAACATTATTTTGATTACCAGTCTTGCAAAACCATTGTTGTTTCCTTTTCTTGGACGACTTCAGCATCAGTATAGCACATAAGTTTTTAGAATGTCTTAGAGATGAAATTTAAAAACATTTTCCGTTTGGAATGCTTTTGATATGTTTTATAATCGCATCTATATATATGTGTTGATAGAAATCAGGAGGGAAAAAAACTATTGAGATCCTAATCCGTTATGTTGCGCTTTATAATCTATAATAATTTTGATGTACTTTCCAGTCCAGGTAATTTCTATACAGGTCAGTGGCGCAAACGTTAAAACAGAATTTTGGCGGAGTCTGGTAACTAGAAGATTGGATTCTAGGACATTGTAAAAAGGTAATTGTAAGCTCGATACATGCGTAAAATGGACGTTTACGAAAAGAAAAATGCAAGACAAATAAGTGCAGATTTTTTTTTAAGAAAGCGAGGAGGAAATCTGTAAACGTGAAATATATATTGTGCCATAGATAAAACAAATCAATCACGTGTATTTGGTTAAGTAGTTATTCCAAAATTTTTACAACTCACTTTGTTAGCATCAGCTTCATGCATTAGATGAGTAGCCTCTGCAGCAACATTATCATATTCTGCGGGTAGAATCCAGTCCTTCACTTCAGCCTGGGGTATGAAGTCGTTTGTTGAAATCATATGAGCATACAAGTTAAACAAGCTTCTTATAAGTGATAAGCAAGTCTTTGCACAATTTATAACATTTAACTCTGAATGATGACCATCGAGAAGCTGTGGTGTATGAAGATCAATAATTGGGGGGGGGCAATATTTTTTAATGCATGTTATAATCCGCAAAAAGAATTGATTTTAAAGAAACTCAATTCGGTAAAACATGAATATATGAGCCCCCTAATTATCTAGCTGGTTACGCCACTGTTGAAAAACTTTGTTGGTTTTCTTGAAACAACATTGATCACCAATACATATGATCGAAAGTATGTTTTCCTTTTACTGGTAAATTAGCTTTCCTGGAAATAATAAAGCTGCGTGTCTCAGAGACACGACATGAACTATTTCCGTGCGTAGAATCTAGTCAGAATGACGTAATGCAATTATTATTTTTTGTTGCTTCAGCAATGAATGTCTACACAAGCGGGTTCCATAATCTTAACTGCAGATTTGCTTCTAGCTACAAACCTTATCCAAATAACCATCCATGTTTTTATCTCTATATTTTGAAAACTGTTCTTTCTCAGTTTTTAGCCAATCGGGTTCTTCAGCGTTATTTTTTCTTTCCTCCTCTGAATACATGTCACCTAGAGAAAAGAAAATTACAACATCATAATAATCAACGCATTATAGAAGCGATCCTTTAAAAAACACACAGAAAGAATATTGCCAGCAAATTGTGGCCCATAAACACAGTTCACATTTACCTACTTACCAATTTCATAAGCTATAAAAAATATACAAAAATCGAAAGTACGCATAAAATGAAAGATACATGATAATCTGAACAATAATGACTTTATCACAATAGCTAAGCATTATGTCTCAAAGACAAACATATTTTTTTTACAGTGACAAAATACCGAAACATCTTCATAACATGACCAAACTTATACATTCAAACTTATTACTAAGATAACATAAGAAAAAAAAGAAAAGGGAACAGGAACAAGGGGGAATTTCGTTTTGAGCCAATCAGCGGTTTGCTTACTTTTTTAAAACTTAGCTAATCAGAACTCGCAAAGCGCAAAAATGTAAACAAAAGGAGTGAGAAAATCGCACTTTATCTGAACGCTTTAGTGAGCCACGTTTTTGAGTAAATAAATATAACAAAGGATCCAAGGATAGTGCAAAGTTTCTAAGAAAAAATGTTCCTAATCATGGCAAATAAAATAAGAAAGCTTAGTATCGAACCTTTGCGTTTCAAAAAATTCTAAGCTGAAATTCATTTCGAGAAGTGCTTATCAAGATTGCGTAAACAAACGTAAATTTGTATGCGCACTTACGAAGCGGATACATAAGGACATTTGGCACGCCACAATCATACATTCGTCATTCATGCAACACATTCTTTTATTATTTCTATGCAGTATACAACATATAAGTTTTTACATATAAGTTTTATGTAAAAGGCAAAGAAAATCAGAAATCCTATTTCATCAAAGTCACAACAATGTTGATCCATGTCCTTGACACTAATTGCTGAAAACAAGTTGCAAATATTTTTTAGTAAAAGGCGCATGTTGTCATTGAGAATTAGGCTAAAAAATTGTTAAGTAAAAACAAATTTGAAAACCAACACATGCTTGACTGTAACCATCTTAAAGTTGCAAATGACAACAAAAAACAATTAAAGATTAAAGATGGGACAAGAACACACTGTTCAGAAATAAACTGTTTTAAACGTAAGCTAACAAGGTCAGATTTGAAATTGTTTCCAAAACACCACACAAGATAACTTGTGACTTTTGGGAACATGATAAATATATTTTGTCAAACAATAAGAAACGGTAACTGCAGCTTGTTCTTCATAAATCTTGCATTGTTTCAAAATGAAAGAATGGGTACTAAGTTGCATTGTCAGGAGTCAGGACCTTTTGAACAAAAGTTCTGAATGTCTTAATAACAATTATGAATTTGGTCAATGCGTGGTTACTTTAAATGCCGTCATTCATATCTGTAATAAATTATTATTCTCCCACAAAAGATGAGGGAAAAGCCTAAATGCGTTTCATTTGTATTGTTCTGAAGCTGTTTACAATGTTCAGACATCATCAACATCAAATGGGCCACCAGACTACAGAGAATAAATTTTCAGCTCAAATAATATACAATACAATCCTGTTGATTATGTTACGGGCTACTTGCTCAAAAAGTCATCTAAGATTCAAAACTGCACCAGTTGCAAGCATGCATTATCATCAAATAGCGTTAAAGACAGTGGAAAGTTATTTTGTTCCTGTTCCTGTAAAGCACATGGAAGAATAAATTTAGGTGACTTGAATCCCCAAACTTCTGCTATTTGGAGATAATCATTTAAAAAATGTTAGTACACACATTCTCAAGAAACTCTTAGGGATTCCAATTCCATTTCACTTATGCCTCCAGTGTCGCGAATTATTTCCAGCAACAAATCGTCTAGCAATTATGTTACAATGAAACATATGTGTCTACAATCATGCAAATCTAACCCGTAGTTCATTAAGAAGCATTTGAAGTAGAAACTGATTTTTGTTTGAAAATGTTTGTTGTCGTCTGTCCTGAGAAATGTCAATAAGAACTTCAGACTTCGACGAATTTTCCCGCGTAATAAAGACTTCTCATGTAATAAATACAACTTCATTTGATTTCCTGAAGTGTATTTTCTGTCTAACACAATTTGACAGCAAAATTTTTAAGATAAATTCGGTTTACTTCTTAAAAAATGACATATTTGTAAAATTCTTCTAAAATTTCTATTACGATCTTGCTGAAGTATCTAGTTGAAAGGTAAATGTTTTCAAAACTTTTTCTCCCCTCCGGATTTCACCCAAAACTTCAATAGACGAGATTATAAAAGAAATAAAATATTGAAACGATGCTTTCAATCGCAAACTATTTTAAAATCTCATCAACAAAACATGCTGAAAACTTGTGGTAAACGATTGGGGAATTAGTGCCAGAAAAGAAAACGTTTCATCACACCGGAAAGCCAGATAATTTTGTTTGTCATTTACAATGTTCAGTATTTTTAAACAGCCGATTCTTTTCGAAATAAGCGTACCTTCCATCAAACGAAACTCACTCATCACGTATGAATTGAATCTCCGTACTCAAGACATGGATCAAGTAGGAATTATTCAAAATATTTTTCAGAAAATATGAGTAAATGTGAAGTTTATTGTTGTGTTAAAATTGACTGCTTTTGAGCATTTCAAGCATTATACTACTTACACTGCTTTATTTGTAAAAACGTAAGAATGTAAGCAACAAAGATAATGGCGGTAATGTTCTGCTTGATGCTTCTTGTTTTATTAATGACATTTGGTGTTTCTTCAAATGCAGTGTGCATTTTAATACTAAACAGTTTAACATAAAATAGCTACTTTCACTTTATGATGCAAAGATTTACTTATGAGTCATGACTGTGTGTATGGTAAATCTTTGCATCATAAAGTGAAAGTGTGAGTCATGACTGTGTGTATCTGTTTGTCTGATGAAAATGACGTGAAAATAAATAAAATGATTAATTGAAATAAACTTGGGATTATAAATTGCATAGTTTTGTATAATTTAGCATTGATTTATTGACTTTATTGATTTTATTTTTGTTGAAGACTTGTAATATTTTATCATGGTAAAAGGTTGGGGATAAATATTTTCCATTCTTGTTGAAATTTTGACATATTAATTGACATAGTATTTCCTTGTTGAACTGCAATTGCCTCTCCCTCAATGATCTCACTACCCTCCCAATTTCTCTCCGAACTGCCAATGCTCCTCCTGTTGCAAGAATTATATTGATTCTTAGTTGTAAATCAAAAATATATATCCTTAACCTCTCACAAATAATATTATTCCAACTTTTCAACATAATAAAACAATTTTAGAGGCAGACTTGGTGCAAGTGTCTATGTTGTTGATATTTAGTCTCTTCAAAACAATTATTTTGTACAAATTTGATTTTTAACAAATTACACTATGCCAAAATGTTATATGTAATGCACAATATTTATAAAACTTGTTAAATTAAAATCTTGATTAACACTATTTTACATAATTTTGCTTTCATGCAGCAAGATGCAATGTAATATGTCAGAGAATCCAGTACACTTCAATTACAACAGGCGAAGTTTCCAAACATAATAATGTAGTTCTGTTCTGCAAATCAGTAGTTGATCCAAAGTTGTGCAAAATAGTTTACAATACTTTAGTAACATCTTGGCTAAAATTATTATACATTTATAACCAGCAATAGCATTATATCATAATATTTTGAATTCGGCTCTTATACCTCAGCAAGTTCAAATTTCTGTCTTATCATGTACTCAATACAACTGCCAGAATTAATATATGACATCTGCCAGTATCCTAGCATGTGTACTCAAAATTCAATGACAACAATTTTAGCCAAGATTCAACAAGCAGTTGACCTGCCCTAGGACACTTTCTCATGCCTTTACGTCGATTTAATCAATAAAGATAGTAGTAATTAGCTTGAACGATATACATTCACAGTCCAATTGTCCAAACTCCAACTGATGAATGCCGTCTTGTACTTAGATTAAAATAGTCGAAGAGCAAAGGTTTCTCTAATGTGAATTTTCCTACTTATTAAGGAATATGCATTCCATAAAACGCTAAAGCATACCTTTCGATCGAAAACGTTACGGATTTATTTCATTATCGGAACTGTTTTTACTGGTTGTATGTATTTTGTACTGAATCGAAATCAGGAGGGAGTGAATAATAAAAATAATTTTTCAAGTGGAAGTTTTTAACCCAAAATTTCCTTTTGGCATGTTTTTGACAACAGTTCCCAGGACCCTTTGTTATATCCAGTTAGTTAAATAGAAATCAATGGCTCCGACGCGAGTGGGTCTTCTGTTTCGTTAGCCGCACCTGCGAAGCGGTTACCCACAGAAGTGAAACCGAATTTTAAACTCAGATAGCCCGAGTAACAGCCCACTAACCAAAGACTCGACTTCCTTACGTATGTTATCATTACTACTTGTGCAGATAAAATACACAGCAAACTTACCTATATACTCATCCAACGACACCTTTTCGTCTTTATCCTTGTCAATGTCTTTAAGCGTCTCTTCCACCATAATATCTTTCATGTGATCAAATTCCTCTGGATGTAAAAATGTGGTAAGTTCATCCTTTGTGAGTTTGTCATCTTTGTCGACATCTGCTTTCTCCCAACGCCGTCTGTCACGCTTTTTCATGTCTTTGTAGTTAAATTCCGTGTTTCTCGCTGGATCATCTAACAAAACAGTATTTCTAATCAGCGGCATGTTCTAGAGCGCACAAGGAAAGAGACACGAAACGAAAAAACTAGGGATCCAAGGATAGAGCAAAGTTTCTTAGAAAAAATGTTCCTAAACATGGCAAATAAAATTAGATTAAAGAATGCTTAGTATCGAACCTTGGCGTTTCAAAAATGCTAAACTGAAATTCATTTAAAAAACAAATTCCGAAAAAACGAGACATCTTGAGATTGCAAAATAAGAATGGAAACAAGACGAGAAGTGAACTGTTTAATCTGTAAAATCTCTTTACCACCGTGCCTTCAAAATTTGTAGCAATAAAACACATTTCAACAATCAAACTGAAATAATCAAGTCTTACATGTCTTGGAACGTTTATCCTAACAGCGTTAAAAACTAAAATCCAAATACAATGATTCTATTTCCATTGACAACCGCTCTTCAATAGATGATAATCTACCTAAAATCTGGGTTCGTATTCCTTGTCTTGGCATGCGTGGCGATTTCCTCTTAAAGTCCTGTTTTAAGAAAATACAAAGACATCTTTCTCAACCGGTGAAATTTGTTGCTATTTACGACACTAAAAAACTCTCCTATTTTGTCTCTAATAAGAACAAACTTCCTTCACTTTCTCGCAGTAATCTTGTATACGAAATAACTTGCCCTGGCTGTGGTAAAACCTACATCGGCATGACACAAAGATGCCTGTCTGTACGGCTAAAAGAAAATGCAACCTGGGTCTCTTCTAGTGCAGTTGGCCAGCATTTCTCTGAGGGCGAAAAACGCTCAATTCTGAGCCAGTCTACAAAACCAGTTCTCAAAACTCAATGATCTCCCTCCACCTCCAAGAACCCCCTCTCGAATAGAAACTATGAAATACTTCACTCAACCAAATCTAACAACTACCACATTCTTGCTCTTCTTGAAGCACTTCTCATCAAACATAACAAACCTTGGCGTTATGTATATCTGCGTGTAAATAAACGTGTTCATGTGAGGCATGTGGCATGAGCATTTGAGAAAGTGTTTATGTGCAGTTATAGTAGTTATGAGCCATTGCTCATCTGCTCAAAAGGCCAATGAAGGTGCAGTCTTAACTGATGCTATGCCATTATGTATATCTGTATGATAGTGAGCAAGTTCGTGTTCGTGAGATTATACAAATTTCGTTTGTATAATCGATGAATTTAGTTCAGTTCCGCTTGACTGAATAAATAACAGGCAATATAATACAAGTCAATTTTTGAGTCGTGATGTTTTTAGTTAATATTTCTCAAAATAACAACACTTTCACAGTATTATGTCACCGACAATTCTTTGCTTATTGCCTATAACTTCTGCTTCATCTTTGTACGCTAACAGACGCTTCGCAGTTCACACATGGCTTGTGTATTACATACGTACTATAAGTATGTGCGTTTGTATTCATTATCATATTGACTTTACCGCAGTACAATTTCACCGTAAACTTTCGGTCAGAAAGCAAAGAAATGAACAAACTTAACAACTTAACGACAAAATTCCATTAAATTAAGTTTAAGACACAAAGTTTACGTTTCCCTCACCAAATTCGCTACGAGTCAATCGACATAACGAGATGAAAAATTGTTAGGAAAACAACATGCGATATTTCTCGACAAAATAACGAACAAACTAAACAGCACTCTTTGTCTTAGTTCGTACGTCCGACTATCTCCGAGGATAGGGACCTTACGATGCGACAACGGCAACTGCGACGGCAACCTCAATCTACTCTGAAGGGACTGGATCGACTAGTTGCCGTTGCCGTTCTCGTTGTAGCTAATTTGTCCTTACGATAAGGCGACGTTCGTAAAAAACGCGGGAAATCTTTATGTTGATAAAAAGTTTTTCGCTAAACAGCTAGCTTCCATATTTATATATTTTCCATGATGCCGTGCATCAGAGACGCTCTGTTACTTTCTCATGGTGATGGTTTTCTTGGTGTAGATGACTGCATGTTGCTATACGAAATATATAAACCAAAAAACCCGAATATGTGTTACAGAAAGTACGACAAGTTTTCCATTCACAAGTTTTCTGACGATGAGTGCAAAAACAATTTTCGATTTTATCGCAACGATATATACCACCTACGCGACGTAATGCAGCTACCTCTAGAGGTAACTTGTTATAATGGTGTTCAAGTCGACGGCATTGAGGCGCTTTGTATATTTTTGATGAGGTTTGCTTATCCTTGCCGCTTTGCAGATCTGGTGCCAACATTTGGAAGACCCATTCCACAGCTATGCATGATAACAAACGAAGTTATCAACTTCACATATGAGCGATGGGGACATTTGTTGTCTTCTTTAAATCAACCCTGGCTTTCTCCCTCCAATTTACAAATATTTGCTGATGCAGTACACAGCCAAGGTGCTCCATTGGCAAACTGCTGGGGGTTCATAGATGGTACAGTCAGACCTGTGACTAGACCAGGAAAAAATCAACGTGTACTTTACAACGGTCATAAACGAGTACACGCCATAAAGTTTCAGTCTATAGCAGCCCCTAATGGACTAATTGCTAATTTGTATGGCCCAGTCGAAGGAAAACGACACGACAGTGCCATGCTGGCAATGTCTGGTATCTTGAATCAAATGCAGCAATACTCAATGAATCCTGAAGGAGATATACTTTGTGTGTATGGGGATCCAGCTTACCCTCTTAGACCACATCTTCAAGCTCCATACAAAGGGGCTGGGCTAACAGCAGACCAACTTGCATGGAACAAATCTATGAGCTCTGTCAGGGTGGCAGTAGAGTGGGTGTTTGGTGATGTTGTTAACTATTTTAAATTTGTAGACTTTAAGAAAAATCTTAAAGTTCACTTGAGTGCAGTGGGGAAAATGTATGTTTGTTCTGCCTTAATTCATAATGCACGCACTTGCCTATATCAGTCAACAACCTCCACTTATTTTCAGCTTGATCCACCTGCTTTAGATGAATATTTTTTTGACAATGAATGAAAAGAGGTATTATAAATGCTGTATTGTGCTGCAATGTTTACATAAACGTTTGACATGTTTTAACAGAGTACAGAATGAATAGACCAAAACAATAACTAAAAACAACAATATTTAATACAAACAATACAAATAACAATGTAAGTTAGACCAAAAAATTAGTCCTAATCCTTCATTATTCTTATTTATGTTTATGTTTAGAAATATTAAATGTCTTATAAACACTGTCTTTCAACAGAACAATGATATGCAAACAAAAAATCAAATAAAACACAATGATTGTTACGGTTTTAGTTGAATTTTGTTGCAAACTTTTCAAATATAGCTACAAAGAAGCACTTTGCTGCTGCTGCTGTAACATCATACCTTGAGTCACTTCAAATAGCTGTTTCATCTGTTGTTGTTGCATCATTTGGGAATTAGTTAACTGCATAACTTGTTGCTCATTCTGCTCTTTTTGGCGTTCAGCTTCAAGCCTTCTAATGCGTAGTTCTTCCTGCATAAGTTCGTAATGTCGTTTACTTTCCGTTCTTCTCAGCTCGACTTCATCAGCTTTCATTTTTATATCAATTTCGCCTTTTTCTCGCAGGTATCGCATGACATCCGATCCACTGGTCTTCTTTTAGCAGATGGCTCGTTATTTTCTTCCTCGTCATTCCTCTTTTTCGTTTCTTTGAACGTTTCCATTGAGCAGCGACGCATTTCTACAGCCTTTTCAACTTCTGCCTGAGCTCTCTGTTTTTTCTCGAACGTGAGTTGTTCATTTAAATGATCAGCTTCCTCAAACTGAGCTATGATGTCCTCCATAGCCTCGTCAAGTTCACTCTCTTCGGGTGAAATACCACTGGCTCTTTCTTCTTCTGATTGTTTTCTTTTGTATTTCTTTTCGAGCAGTTGATATCGATCGCGAACAGATCTCTGAGATACATGGAATTTTGGCATTTCCAAAGCATTGAGCGATTTAGCAATGTTTTCCCAAATTTGGCCTCTTTCAGTTGATCCTCTTCTGTGAATCCATGGTCTAAATAGCAAGATTTCTCGTGATAAAGCTATATCATGGCTTGAGGACCATTTCATAGATGCACGTGAAGCAACAGTAGTGCTACAAAGAGATATTCAGAAAAATATGTAAGCATTTTAAGCCATAAGTAGCCATTTAAGCATAAAGGCTGAGTCAACCATAACCTCATTTACATATATTAAGCCAAAGATAACAAAACTCACCTCGCCATTTGACAATCGAATGATTTTTGCAAGATTTTTGATTTTTTTTCTCTGCCGTTCTGAAGCGACGCCAAAGTTGTTGTTTTCACGTCTGTTCCGTCTTTTCAAAACGTGTAAACAACGTACAGATGGTGCGTGCGCATGCTCAGTTAAAAAAAGGGATCAAACTCCGGTGCCGTCGCAGTTGCCGTTGTCGCATCGTAAGGTCCCTGATAACGACAGACAAACCGACCGACGGACACTTTTCCAGTATAGCATTGTGGTTAGCCGCGCATGAGCAGCGGCTACCGACAAAAAATGAAATTACAGACTTTAAGGAACCGTTTATATGAGACGGGCAAGACCGATGAAAAGCAGGGACCTTAACTCTTACATGAAATGAAATAAAAAATAAAAATAGAATTCTATAGCACATTCAATTAACAAATTCTATCATAGCGAAGCCAGCTGCATTTTTCCTTCAACAATTAAAATATTTTTGTGGTTATTCACTGGAGAAACAATAAACAGAATCTATTTTTAAATAACATACGTAATTTTGCTGAAAAATTTGCAATGCAGAAGTAAAATTTTTGGCTAGCTTAACCACTGAACAAGTGATGTTTCTAATACAAAGCACACATGTTATTGTGCAGTTATTATGACTTTTTGTTTGAAAATTGTGGAGCAAACTTGAAGAATAAAGTAAACTATGAAATGAAAAACATTTTTTCACTAAAGACTTATACTCATTTACTGATTTTTTTATGAATAAATTTCTAAAAGTATTTTTAATAAATTTATTTTTATTGCTTTTTCACTATAATGAATAAAAAATATTGTTCCATAGAATTAATTGTTCATTTAACATACAATGTGCTAATTGATAAATGATTTCCTAATATGCACTTTATGAATCATAATGGACTAGGGTGGCTTCAGCTCCCTGCCAAAAAATGTTAGAACAGAAAAAGACTGTCAGGCTTTATTTGCTAGACAGTTGTGTTAATTAGGTCATTTAAGATTGAAAATGTACCAAATGCTCCCCTAAAAAATGTTGATCCTTTCATCCATGTTTGTAGATCAGCAAGTAGTGTTACATTGCCTTTTTACTCAGAATGTAACAAGTGTTTAAAGTTACTCTAGACTTTATGGGTATGTTTGCTTACCAACATCAAATCCGTACGTTCTATTGACATATTCTCCCCATGAAAGAGATGGTTTGCCATCAGGATTCAGGTCTTTCCATTGCCTGTCCACATCTTCATATATGTATCTCTTTTGCGTATGGTCAACATACGATTTTAATTCATCTTCTGTTATTTTTCCATCACCATTACTGTCAATCTTTTCAACAAGAATTCTACATTGATAACATAAAGCATTACCAAGACCATGTGATTGTATAAGATTAGCACTTAACACATAACATTTAGTAATTCATGTTTAAAATGGATGGATTTTTAATACAGTACTGTAAATATATTTGAAAATTAGCATAAGAAAAGCCATACATTCAATTACTTAGGAAGTCAAAAAATTTTTGAAAATGTGCAGAGGGCAGACAACTAACTTTCTCTTCATTCATGACCATGTCAACTATATAATGAATTTTGAATTTGATTAAATATATACCTGTTAGGCTTACAATGATAGAGTAATTTTACAACACCCTGCACACACTTGTAGCTCCAAACCTTGTCATAACCATCACTAGCGTGATTATTGTTTGCAGTTTTTGTGGCATGGCATACTATACATGGGCCAGGGAGTCAAAGCAATAATTTGATACTCATACTCTTCCATAGCTTAAGCTATGTCGACAATTGTGCAATTAATATTTACATCATAGCTGAATTTTCAATGAAAAACGCTTAGTACCTGCAGAACCAACCAACAAACAAATTTGAAAGCGTAATTTAAAACTTAGCTCTTCCTAGCTCTATCACTTGAATAACCCCTCAAATTACGAAGCAAAACCGTTATTTAACACTAATTAACACAGTCCATAAAAAGAATTAAGTCAAGAATAAGAACATTGAACATTCTAATATTCAAACACAGGAAAGCCAAAGATATACACAGAGCAAATGAAAGAAGCTGGCTTGCAAATTAACAAGTACATTCAGTCCTCAGAAGTCAACTTTAGTTATATAATGAAAGTAAACACTCACCCTAGTCTACGCACACTTTCTTCGGGCGATAATTGATCAAACGTGGCCTTCTGTTCGTTACCTAAAAATGCTTCGTGGTCATAATCAACATTATGCTCATGTCCTTTGCCTTTGAAATGCTCCTCGTCGGATAAAGGTTGATGCTCGTACACGCGTTTCTTGGTTTCGCTCTTATTCGGTCGTGGAATTGCAAAAGCCAATATTGAAAAAGACAGCATTAGCATTCCAATTAAACGCAGCGCCATCTTCAATAAAATGTTAATTAGCAAGCAACGATCGCGCTACCATATATTCAACCTGTATTCACATCAAGAGTTAGACGCGCAAAACATCAACATTCTATTTATGCATTTTGTTTGTTATGCGCAATGTGAGGTAATGATTGGTAAGCATAGGTCACATGATGCAAAACGTGGACATTGCCACGTTGGCAAGTATAAAGAACGCCCCTATTGTGTGATCAAATTGCAAGGTCTGCACTCTTCAGGGGTCCTGGACTACAGGTTTTACTAACTACTGAAAATGAGTTGATAAGCAAAGTAATAATGTTAGCGCGTATAATCTTCAAATTTTCGCGAGGGATCTGGGTCTGAGATTACGGAGCGCCATAGAGCTTAGGCAATACAATATTTTTCTTGAATTTTCTTGCACATATTTTGAATCGCAACTTTTTTTTTGAAATCACGGATTTTTTTGAAATCCCGAACTTTTTTGAAGTAACAATTTTTTCAATTTTTTTTTAATTAATTTTTACATTATTTTTAAAATAAACATGGCATTTCGTGGTCTTCTTTTATCATTTTCTTGGTTCTGCCAATCTCTTCTAATGTTGACTCATTTGTGAATAAGCGTAATTATATTACAGCTTTACGAGAAGAGTCTCCATCAAGGGAGACATTAATTCGAAAATATTTTATTTTGGGATTCTTGTATCAAGCAACTCTATTTTTATTGAGAAAATTTCATGAAACAGTGTTAAGTCTTCGCCATCTCAAACGATTGCTGAAAAAACTTGGATTGCAGCGACGGAGAGAAAAGACAAGAATGCCATGGATATTGAATTAATGGCAGTGCATCCACTATCGGATACAAAGCTTTTCATCATAGGCATCGGGTAGATTCTGAAGATTGTTGACCCCAAAGGTATTGAAAAAAGATTAAGACACATGTTAAAGCGGCGGAAATCAAACGGACACAAACAAGAACCCAAATTTTGCATGGCATATAGATGGCTGAGCTAATTTGTGGTTAGAAATTAGCTCATCAAATAACGATCCTAGAATCATAGGTCAATATTTTGTCAACTATGTACGACATATTGGTAAAACTGCACGAATAGTGCGAGGATATTGTGAGAATTAAAATGTGCACTTTGCAGCAATGCAAAGATTTTTCCGATCTACGGCGAATGACGCGTTGGCAGGTGATAAAAGTTTCTTGTACGGGAAGTCGACTTCAAATCACCGGATCGAGGCATGGTGGTCGCACTTTCGTAAATGTTATGCCGACTGGTGGATAAAATATTTTAAAGATTTGCGCACTTCAACAACATTTTTTGATGCTAATTTTATGCAACATGACCATGTCTAAAGTTCTGCTACATGAACGTTATTTGGAATAATTTACAAAACTTTGTCAAGCTGGTTTCATCGTTTATAGCCATGTCATTAAAATAAAGAATCCGTTACTATAAAGACTTTAGCAAGATAAAAGCAAGATAAAGCGATTATTTTTTCTTGCTTTAAAATCATTGGCACTACAGATTCGCACTTAAAATCAAAGAAGCAATTCACATTAATAAAACTAACCTTAATCTCAACGTTCAAGTTTTTCGTTTCAACACTATATTCAGCCTGTAATACTTTCATCATTATTTCAAACCACTATTTCAATGTAATATAATAATCTATTCATTGAACCCGGGAGTATCGTTACATGTTTTTAAATGTAGATCGTCCAGGTTGGTATAGTCCTGAGAAGGACTCTTTTTGTTGTTGTTGACTGAAGTTTCGACAACCTTAGCGGTAGTCATCCTTTTTGACTCTGAAGAGTCAAATTTAGTAATTTAGTAATACTAAATTACTAAATACTAATTACTAAAGCTAATTACTAAAGCAACACAAATAAATACTAATTACTAAATACTAATTAGTAATTAGTAATTAGTAATTAGTATTTAGTAATTACTAAATAAATTAATTAATAATTAATTAGTAATTAATTACTAAAGCAACACAAATAAATACTAATTACTAAATAATAATTACTAATTAATACTAATTAGTAATTAATTAATAATTACTAAATAAATACTAATTACTAAAGCAACACCTAAAGAAACAGAAAAAATTAAAAAAGACCTATGCCGCGTATTTAACAACAACGGATTGCGTATCACTATCGAAGCTAACAAAAAAGTCATTAACTTCCTCGACTTCACGTTCAATCTAAAGAATTCTTCCCATCGACCTTACACTAAGCCCAACACCTCTCTGCAATACATCCACCACGAAAGCAACCATCCTCCAAGCATTACAAAGAACATACCCGATACCATTAACAAACGCCTTTCATCCTTATCATCCGACGAAGCATCATTCGACCAAGCATTTCCTTCAAACCAAAAAGCACTTGACGAAAATGGATATCATTACACACTGAAATATGACCCGAACGCTACAACGAAACGGAAAAACAGACTTAGAAATAACATACTCTGGTACAACCCACCATACAGCAAGAACGTCAGCACAAACATCGGCTACAAATTCATTTCACTAATTGACAAGCACTTTCCCATAGACCACAAACTCAGAAAACTATTTAACCGCAACACAATTAAATTAAGTTACAGCTGCATGAACAATATGGAACATATTATTAATAACCATAACAAACGCATATTAAGAGAACCAGACAATATTAATGACACCATCAATGATAAAAATACACAAACTAAAACATGCAACTGCCGACAAAAACAAAACTGCCCACTTAACGGAAACTGCCTACAATCATCTGTCATCTACCAAGCAACTGTTAAACGTTTGGACACTAACACAACTGAGACCTACATCAGACTTACAGAAAACGAATTTAAGACTCGACACAGGAACCACACTGCCTCTTTCTGCCACAAAAAACTAAGAAACTCCACCGAACTCAGCAAACACATATGGACACTAAAAGACAACAACATCGCTCACGATATCTCATGGAACATCATCACTCACAGCAAACCGTACAACAGCGTCAACAAAAGATGCTACCTATGCCTGAAAGAAAAATTCTTTATCGCCTACCAACCACCACTATCATCACACAACAAACGTAACGAACTTATCTCCTCTTGTCGCCATAGACACAAGGCACTTTTATCCAATTTGTAACCATGTACTCAACATATTCTGTAATTCTATCTTAATTTTTACCCTAACTTCCTCTTGTATATATAATCTAGCACATGCTTTTGTATTCATTTAATATTATCCCCTGAAGAGTGAGAAATCACGAAACAGGCTTGTCGGGATGAAATTGTAGTTTTTGTGTATTGTCTTCTTCTCATCAATATATATATACATACAAAGTGTATTACAATGTGCCCTCCCGGCTATCACCATAGTAAAATGGTGACTCCTGCACTTGGGACACAGGACGTGCGGTTACACATTGTATGGATTGTATTGTAGAGTCACCACAGTGCTCAAAACTATAAAGGTGAGCTTTGCATATCGCGAACACGGTGAACGTCTCTTTATGAGAATCTCTACGCAATCCGAGAGCGCTCAAACTGCGCAAGCGCAGCGAGCGTAATACACAAAGTGTATAACAATGTGCCCTCCCGGCCATCACCATAGTAAAATGGTGACTCCTGCACTTGGGACACAGGACGTACGGTTATATATATATATATATCTGGAATGATAACGACAGTACATTTTATAATTCTAAAATTGAAGCCTAAGTACTAATCTTTTGCGCGATTTGTACGTCAGTTCCATTCCCCTGAGTGCCAAACATACACGGCCAATATAAATTTGAATACAAACAACACACGAGGCCAACTCTTCGCAAAAGGTTATTTTTTACAGCTGAAACTTTACTACCATGAGTTCGTTGTGACTTACAAATTGTAACGAGGAAAAGCCAACTGAAAATTACACTGTATGCTAAAAAGACAATACAATAGAAAATATGACGAGAAAATGTTCAAGCATAAATTTTTCTTTCGTCGGAAGGTAAATTTTCAAACGGTGTCAGAGAGTGTTTGTCTTTTTTTGTCATTTCAGAGGATGTAAAGATCTGTTTTTCCGAAAAAAAAGAAACTTGAATGTCCAGTTTCATAACAAATATTGAGTCTATAACTCGTATTTTTACTTTTTACATAGCGATTGTCATTTTCATCGATTTTGATAGTGTTCGAAATACTAAATGGTTGTCATCTCGATATCAATAATTGAATATCCTTAAAGACTTTGATATGTTTTAAATGAAAATCGCAGCTTAAGAGCAGATTGACTGTGTATGACAAAAATATATAATAGCTCTATTACTCTATTAAAGATGTTTTCATTTTATATGTAAATTTTGTCAAATAAAAATTCATACCAACAAATTCTTTTAGTTTATTGGAAAAACGTAATAATATTTTTGCACTGAGGATGATGTAGAATTGAAATAAATATAATTCAAAAGATTTTCTTCGTGAAGATAAAACTGACTAGTAAAATGAAATCAATTGAGGTCAAACTAAAATCTAGGATCCGAAAAAATACTAATTGTTGATAAACACGCGAGAAACATGAGTGATGAGAATAATGGTGACAAATATTTTTTGGCCTCAGTTATCATTCAGTTGTTGAAATATTGAGTTCACTAGTGCGGCCTTAAGCCTGTTTTCCACTAGCCACGTATCGTATGGTAGAAAAACGTAACATGGCGCATGCGTGCTTATGAATTTGATGGTCAATAGGCGTATTGTAATTTTAATACGCATATTAAAAAACAAGTTCGCGAACTGTCAACTTTTTTCGTACAAATCCGAAATACGGATAGTCGTTCATTTCAGGAGAAAACAAATTGCTTGCTTTCAAAATGACGACGCTCGAGGAGCCGTGCATTGATTTATTCCAACAAGAAGGGACAGAATATTCGTTAAATAAATCTGATATTGATGCTGCATCAGAAAACCAACACAAGTCCACGGTCAATGGACAAGATGCTTCGTTTCTGTCAAATTTGATTGAGGAAATACGGAAATATCTTTGCATATGGAATGTATCATTAAAATCTCACATAGAAAGACCAAAAAAATCTGAATCGTGGCATAGGATTTCT